TAAGAAAACAAACACACTTGTATCTGTTCATTTCTGTAACATAAACGTGGAGACCAAACTGAAATACAAATGAGTACCATAAGCTCACTGAAGGGGGTGAGAAAGAAAAAATTTGCCAAAGTTAAAAAATTCTTTTTTTTCATTAAGTTTATTGGTACATTTTAGGTATACAATACATTTACATTCATCGTTGGGATCTTGTACCTTTACATGACGTATCTTGGTTCTTATTGAAAAACTATTTTGAATGTACCCTAAAAGGCTAATGACAAAAGGAACCATCAAGAATATTTTCAACCTAGAAAATTTGTTTTACACAAGGATGTAGGTTAGCGATTCTGAAACTACTTATGAATATTCTAGGATTGCACAAATGGGTAAATACATTGTGGATATACTGGAGAAAAAAGTTGTGAACAAGCAGAGGCGAACAAACCCATGTGTTGCACTGGAACTGTCAGTATGGTTTTCGATATAAATGCAGATTGACACAGAAACACACACTGGTGTGTAAGTGTGCATGATGAAGTACACTCATCCCCTAGCTCTGTCTGCTAAGATGTGTGGGAAGCAAGAAAGAGTCCACAGTGCAAGCACAGTGGAGCACCTGGGCCTCCAATAAAAGGAATCAGTATTCCTGGAGAAATGGCTGATTCTAGGCCCAGGGGAGGGAAATTTGAAGATGAACTTAGAGCGTTCTGTGGTGTGAGACAGTAAGGAAAACAGCTGGGTGTGGGCGTGCATGCAGTATTCTCAGAGGCTGAAGCAGGAGAATCAAAAGTTTAAGCCCAGTATGGGCCATTTAGCAACGCCTTATCTAAAAATAAAACATAAAAGGGCTGGGGATGTAGTTGTGTGAAGACCCCTAGATTCAGACCTCAGGACCACAAAAAAAGAAGAAAAAAAAAAAAGTAAGAAGTACAAAAACGACAACCTCGCCTCAATTCAATGGGAACATGTTGAAAGAACCTGAGAGCCAACTAAGAGCAGTTTCTAATGGCCAAATCTCAGACAATTTGAGAGAGGGAAAAAGTAATAAAAAGTAACTTACAAAAGAAAATAAATATCCATAGATGCATAATGATACTGAATAGATATATAAGGGAGAAGGGACAGCTCTTCCTTACAAGTAGAATTCCAGTTAATAAACGTGGAGGGAAAAATAGAAATAGAAAAATTACTATCAGTCAAATTCCATAGTAATACCTGTTATACACAAAAATCATTTATGGATGCTAGAATGAGAAGGTATGGTACAAACCAAGACATCTGCATAGTCTCCTGATATTTCCCTCGTGAAAGAGATACTTAGTAATCACAAAGGAAAAACAGTAACTTTACAGAAGAAAAACAAGGCAGACTCCACCTTCGCCTAAGTTATCACCACTAGTAATGAGACATCAACATCACAGACCTCCTGATAATTATGAACTGAGATTGTAATGTGATTTACATGGTATTTTCCAAAAATATACCTCAATCTAATCATTTAAAGCATCAAGTGAACCTAAATTGAGGAATATTTTACAAAATGGCCAGTTGTCTTCAAAATTCCCAGAGTCATGAAAAATATATTAAAGGAGAATAAAGAGACATGATAGCACTCATGTAACCCCAGCACTTGAGAGAGCTGAGGAAGGAGGATCAAAAATTCAAGTCCTGCCTGGACAACTTAATGAGATTTTTGTTTCAAAAAAAAAAAAAAGGGGGGCTGAAGATGTAGCTTAGTTCGAAGGGCCTGGGTTTAGCCAGCTAGCTGCAGATATATAGGTAGGTAAGTAGATAAATAAAAGACAGGACACCTAAATACAATGATAGAGCCTCAATTTATCTTTGACCAGAAAAGGATATTAATGTGGTAACTGGTGAAATTCAAATAAGACCTGTGGAACAGTAACAGTATTGCACCAATGTTAATTTCCTGATTTTGATAAATGTACTGTGGTTTAGAGGTAAGATGGGCGAAGCATATAAGGGAACTTTCTGTAACAGTTTTGCAACTTTTTTGTAAGTCTAAAAATTATTTCAAAACAATTAAAAATATGACTACTATCAAAAATATTACCCCAAATAAGACTTAATTTAGCCTACTGCAAAGTCCATCTCTGTAGTAGTATTGTCTATAAATGAAAAGTTTTTCCTTTTAGTTGACCCTCCAGTTTAAAAACAAATTACTGGGCAGGGAATTTAGCTCAGTGACGCTATGCCTGCCTGGGAAGCACAAGGTCCTGAGTTCAATTCCCAGTACCAAAAAAAAAAAATTATTGAATCTGAGGAATTCCTGTATTGTAAGAAGAAATTTGTATAAACATTTCAAATTTTTCATAAAAATTAAAAATACATGATATAGACAAGTTTTTCAAGTGCCTGTGAATACAATAAAGATAATTTTCAATCATTTCTATAACTTTCACAAAAATTTAGAATCTTGTTATGGATTTTTAGGGCAGGCAAGACTGTAGACACCAAGTGGTCCAGCCCTGCCTGTCTCACCACTGAAGGAGGAGGCGATCACCCAGAAGTGAGACAGAGCCAGTTCAGGCTGGAGCCGTGCCTGGAACTTTCTATCTGGACTCCAGGCCTTGGTCTATTTCTCCAACATATATCAGAGCTCTTCTTCATTTAATCTAAAACTTACCATGAATAACAGTGATCTAAACATTTCATTATTACAGTTAAAATATTTATAACTGCTTGTGGTGGACTAACCAACGGTCAACTTGTAACACCCAGCTGAACTGAATCAGCGTGATCTGGGCCTGGAGGATCCACCTGAGGATTGTTACCACAGCCACAGAAAAAGAGCCGGAGGGGAAGATCTTGGCCTGTTGATTTTCTAGGAGAAACTTGCTGCGGATGGTTTTCCTGATGCAAACTAGGCTGTTCTCATCAGAGGAGGAGCTTGGGGACTCGCTGTGGCTGGGAATGGCTACTGGCTGCTGTTTTCATCAGGGGAGCTCTGATCTTCACCGTGAGGATCACTTCCTGGCTCCAATGTGGATCCCTCAGCTTGGTGGCACAAATCCTTCATTTCACCAGAGTAGATTTTCTGGCTTCTACCACTGGCCTTTCGGCCTTCCAGGTGCAGATCCTCAATATGGACAAGCATGAGACATTGCTGTGGGCTCTAGGGCACTGGCTGGACTGGTGGAGGACACTGCCTTGGGCTCTAAGCCTTTAGCTGGACTTGTATGGGAGACTGCTGGGATCTAGGCCCTCGGCTGGATTCTTTGGGCCCCTAGTGTGTGGTTAATCTCTTGCACTCCTTTGCATTTGAGCTTTTTAGATAATTATCATAAAATAGTCCTAAAATTATGTGTCCTGTATTTAATGTATTCCCTTGCCAAAACCCTGACAACACTGCTTCTAAAAAAACTAATAAAAAAAGCTACTCAATTTGACTTGTGGGAATGAAATGAAATATGGATCCAAAGTAGTACACACATTAAAAACAAACTTAAATATTCTAGATAACTGTCTTAAGTGAAATCTTTATATTAAGTAGGCTTTTTATAATAATAGTTCATGCTCTTGTTTAATGGTTTAGTTTTTTTTTTTTGGTACTGGGGATCAAACTCGGGACCTTGTGCTTGCGAGGCAGGCAGCGGAACCACTGAGCTAAATCCGCGGTCCTGGTTTAGTTTTTTGTGGAGTCAGGGTCTTGCTATAATGTTCAGACTGGTCTCAAATTCCTGAGTTCAGTGATCTTCTTGTCTCAGCCTCTTGCAGAATTTACAGAATTTAAAAGGATCTCAGCCTCTTGAATACCTAGGTCCATGGGTGTACACAATCATGCCTGGCTTTAATACTTTGCTTTTTAGGGCCAGGGATTTAGCTCAGTGGTTCTGTCACCTGCCTTGTAAGTGCCAAGGACCCAATTTTGATCCCCGGTAAAAAAAAAAACAACAAAACTTTTAGACATTTATATCGCAAAAAGCCTTTACTGATTACAAATGTGTCAGGCACTATAGCTGATACAGTGAAAGGTGAAGAGAGGCAGGGGATTTAGCTCAGTGGCGCTGGGCTTGTCTGGCAAGCACAAGGTCCTGAGTTCAATCCCAGATACAAAAAAAAAGGTGGTGAGAGGGCTGGGGATTTAGCTCAGTGGTTTCGCCACAAGTGCAAAGACCCAAGTTCGTTCCCTGGTACCAAAAATATGAAGTGACAAGCAGTGTAAAAGGAGGAAGGGTGACCAGTAACCCAGTCCTCAGAGGTGTCCTTACTTCCAGTTAACAAAAGATGAAATGAAATCATTCCAGGTTGCTCAGTAATTGGCAAAGCAGGACTTGGACCTATGCCTTCTGATTTAGAATAGAGTCGTTCCCCGCCCCGGGTACCAGGGATCAAACTCAGGACCTTGCTCTTCAAGGCAGGTGTGGGGCCACTGAGCTAAATCCCTGGCGCGAATCAATTTTGATCTTAATGATTAACTGTTTTATATCTGGATGACAGTTAAGGAGATGGGTTAGAGTCCTGAAGGGGATTACAATCTACGGCTGTTGAGTAACTCTGTAAACTCAGGCAACCTGTGCGACATCTCTGCATTCACTTTCCTCCACCTGAGGGTAATCTTATTTCATAAGGTTACCATGAGAGATAAATGAATAAATACATAAGGCAACATTAGGGTTAGCTGTTGGCACCCCAAAGAGTCCACACACTGAGAATTCTTTAATGAATGTGATTGTTTTTTATTCATTTTTGAGTTTGTCGAAGGTGGCAGGGTGTCTGGAACACATATGTTAAATTAATATTTACTGAATGAAGTCATTAAATAAATGTTGAATCTAAAACTTTTTTTTTTGGTACTGGGGATTGAACTCAGGACTTTGCGCTTGCAAGGCAGGTGGGGTGCCACTGAGCTAAATCCCCGACCCCGAATCTAAAACTATTCTTCCAATATATTTATTTCTATTATCAGATTTAAAAAAAAATTCCATTTCATCCACATAAATGAAACTCTACTTTTAAGGGCAGCTCCCTCTCACAGCAACACTTACTGTTTACTGTTGCTCCTTCATTTGGGTTGGAATATCCCTCTCCTTTCCGTTTGATTCTCCGGATGATGCCTGAATCTTCAAATAAATCCTCTCCTTTGAAATCAAGGAGCTCAATCTAGAAAGGAAAAAGAGATTTAACTAGGAAAAGATCAAACAAAATCAATTTAACATACGTAAAGGCAAAAGCAACTAATTCGCCTTTCATTTTACAAAATAAGTTTTTTTAAAAAAATCTGTGCATCTTAGTTATTAGAAAAGTAGAAGAAAGGAACACTGTGCTTTTCAATACTTGGAAAGAACTGTGTGTAATGATAATGTCTAGGACTACATCCTGTGGGGCTGCAGTGCAAAGACAGACAGGAAATACTAGGAAAACTGCCTTGTGGGCAAAAAGCCAGAGCGACAAGGTACTGGCACCAAACTATTTTGTCTGACTCCAAGGCCACCACTTTTCCTGCCTCAGATTTACGAAGTTCCCTTACAATGTGAGAATAAATCCTAGGAATCTGGTCTACAACTAAAAGTATATTTTACCCCATTAGAATAGTTCTTAAAACTTGCCAAACAAAGGTGATGAATTCAACACAGGACAAATAACATGCCACCACCCACTGCTTCTAAGGAAGAAGGGAAATCTATGTCACTTATAAATCTTTATAAACACTGGTAAGCCTTAAAAATACCTTACAACTTGATACAGGCATTTTCAACATTTATTTCCACCATTTCTATCTTGTCAATTTTGAGTATGTCATATTTATACTGCTGACTGCTTTTATTTCTGAGTCCAGTGTCTTTTGTTTATTTGGCTATCCCCTTTTTGTGCCAGGCACACATTTCTAAGAATGCACTGGCACACATCCCTTAGGTTTGTGGAAACAATTCAAGAAGCTGAGCTCCAAAATAAGTAAGTTGGATGTGAGTATTAACAGCAAACGCAGACTGTTCAAAGGCAGCCCTACAGCGCAACAGATGCCGATAAGGCAACACCACATACACACTTGCCTCAAAAAAGAGAGTTGCATTGGCAGGAATTTTGGGGAGGCTGCCGGCCAAGCCATATGCATATTCTGGTTTGCAGAGCAAATGGCAGATCTCTCCTTTCTTCATGGTGGCCACGCCGATGTCCCATGCCTTGATAACTTGGCCTACAAGAAAGGAAAAGGTATAGGCCACATTTTACAAAATTTGACGTTCACAAAACAAAACTTTAAACAAGCTTCCAACTTTTCATAGTATGTACTAAACCAGAAATTAGGGGTTATAAGATGATGGAACTCAGTAAAAGCTACACATAAAGAAATAAATTATCATTTTTTGGAAGGTTATCAGAGACAATTCCCAGTGAGGAAGATGAAAGTAATTATCAATTCCTAAGCTATTAAAAGTGGTGGTAACATAATCCACAAAATGAAGCTGTGTTGCAATTATTGCTTAATTTATCATTTCAACCATAATAATGTGTGCATTTTCTAGGCAGAGATGGAACAAAAATAGTATAGGAAATGGAGTTTGTCCTAAGGAAGTGTATAATTTAGTCGGGTAGGGAAAAAAATATCAAAAAACAAGAAGCAACCATAAAAGTACATTGTAAAGGAGTCTACAAAACAAATTCTCAAAATTTAGAATCAGAAAAATATTTCTACAAACAATAAGGCTGTGGTTAAGTATTCTTTTGTCAAGTCACAAGAATTACAGAATTTTGACTTTTTTCTTTTTGCCAGTTCCTGGACACTTAAAAGTCACTGCTCAATAATAGAATATTATTAGGCTATATGATCTCCATATTTACAGTTCTCATCATGTGCATCCTTAACTGTATCTTACTGTAAGCAGTTCTAAAACTTTTGGGAAGCAAAGGAAAATCTAGGCAATTTAAAATAACATAATGCTTAAGGTGCTATATCCCTCAAAAATTTAAGTATTCTACCAAGTGGGATCAGATAAGCAATGAAGCCCAGAGGAAATGAGTTCTGAAGTAAACTGTGATCCTGGATTAAGACAAAGCTGGAGGCAGGACACTGGGACAGGGACGGAGGACCTACATGTGGTCTGTAAGCAAGGATGGATAAACATGCTGTGACTTCGGTTTAGTCTTCATTAAATACTACAACTTTTCAAAATAACAGCTCCACTTATTTTAGTTAAAATTTTCATAAATGCATAATATCAAAACAGAAAAGAGAACTACATAAAGCAAAAGCTCATCTGTCCTACTAATTTTTTTAAATTTTATTTCTGTCTTTTTGAGACAGGGTTTCTCTATGCAATTCAGGTTGGCCTTGAACTCCTGTCTCAGCCTCCCGAGTGCTGGAATTACAGCCATGCACCACCACCCTGGCTCTATCTCTTTCTTTTAAAAAGCCACTACTGTTATTTCTTTTGTATCCTTCCAGTGTTTGCTGTCACTGTTTTAAAAAATTGAAAATAAAAAGGATAGCACACTATACATTCAATTCTGAACTGCCTTTTTTTTTTTTTTTGGTACTGGGGATTGAACTCAAGACCTTGTGGTTGCAAGGCAGGTGTGGTGCCACAGAGCTAAATCCCCAGCCCCTGAACTGCCTTTTCATTAACATTTATCTGGATCTTCTTTCTCCATCATTACAAAGAAGGATATCCATGCTGGAGGTTAAAAGTGGTAGAATGAATACCAGCTATGTACTTTACTAGCTGTGTGAATTTGTGTAAGTTATTTAACCTGTTTCCTCATGTATGCAATATAGATAGTAACAGCATCTGCCATATACTGAAGTTGTAAAGATTATTAAATAAAATAAGTCAAGTGCACAGAACAGTGCCTGCCCTATGTTTTGTTTGCTTTTTTTTTTTCTTAAGTTCTTTTATTGGTATATTTTAGGTATACAATTCGTTTATACTTATCACTGGGTGCTTGTACCTGTACACAATGTATCTTGGTTTTTATTTTTTCCCCATTCCCTATGCGCCCTTCACCCCTCCACCCTTCCCTATTTACATAGACATCATTTCCATTTTTTTTCTTTTCTCACAGTTTTTCCTTTCCCCTTCCCCTCCCTTCTGTTTGCTTTTTTTAGAACAAGGTCATGTTGCCCAAGGTGGCCTTCAACTCCTGAGATCAATCAAGCAATCTTCCTGCCTCAGTCTCCCAAGTAGCTGGAACTTCAGGTGTTTGCCATCATGCCCAGCTATGTGTATTTAATAAAGGAAAACTGCCTCCATCATAATCAGAAACAGATCTATCTCATTCTGCATAATTTTACAGTCTCCTCCTGAGAAACATATTACCAACAGTCCTCCAATAAGGATATTACTACCCATGTTTGCCTACTTTACATAAGCATATCCCGGGAAGTGCAAAGTAATATCCTTTCTTCTTTGCCCCACTCACTCTCTTCTTCTCTCTTTGTTTTTTGCTGTACTGGGAATCGAACCCAGGGCCCTCACAGTAAGCTGCATCCCTAGCCCCCTTCCTTTGTATTTTGGGACAGGGTCTCACTAAGTTGCCTTGAACTTGTGACCTTCCTGCCTCAGCCTCCCAAAGTGCTAGGTTTCAGGCATGCACCTTCATGCAATACTACCTGAATCTTAAATTTGACAGGTATTACCCAATGCCTTTCCACAATGGCTACCTCGCCTATATGCTCACCATATGGTTCTGCTAAGAAAACAGCTCAGTGGCTTTGGAATGAATTCAAAGCCTGCTGTTTGAAGGTTGCTTTCCTATCACTGATACTCCTCAAAAGGTGTGTTTTAGGGTCATCCTGGGAGAACATGCCCCTTTGAAAACATTATACCTCTGATATATTAAGGCAAATACTTTACATACTCTGGAAGAGGAGCTATTGTACATTTGCTCCAGACATCTGGTCAATGACCGAGAAGCAAAGGTCTGTGTTAGGTACTGCAAACATAAAGCCAGGGCAATCCCTTCCTCCCAGAGAATACGTAGTGAAGCCTGGCTAGGGAGGATAAAGACACATGCATTGATTTTGTTTTTCTTTTTAAACAAAACATGGTAAGGGCTAAAATAAGAGTACAAAACAAGGGGCACAGAGGAGGGTGATTAATTCTACCTGAAAGGGTAGGGACAGTGTGAAAAAGCCTAATCCATGGTAATATCTCTGCCAGCCTTAGAAGTTGGAAGCACCAGCCTATCAATTAAATCCAAATGAGCCCCGGGCTATATAAATCATGCCTATGCCTTTGATTTTCTGCTTTGTAACATTAAAGAACCCTGGGAACATTAAAAGTTCTTTGATGGGCTGGGGATTTAGCTCAGTGATCCCGCCGCCTGCCTCACAAGTGCAAGGTCCTGAGTTCGATCCCCAGTACCACACACACACATACACACACAAGTTCTTTGACACCAAGTTTCAGAAACTGAATGAAACACCAAGCAAAAAGCCAGACTAATGATTACAAGCATGTTTCTAAAACCACCAACTTTTTTTTCTTCTTGGTACTGGGGACTGAACCGAGGGCCTTTGCAGTGAGCTAAATCCTCAGCCCTTCTAAAAATGTTTAATTTTGAGGCAGGCACTCACTAAATTGCCCAGGCTGGACTTGAATTTGCAATATTCCTGCCTCAGCCTCCCAAAGTGCTAGGTTTACAGGTGTGCACCACTGTGCCCAGCTATAAGCCAACCTTTCTTCTATTGTTTTTTTTTTTTGGTACCAGGGATCAAACTCGGGACCTTGTGCTTTTGAAGCAGGCAGCGGAACCCCTGAGCTAAATCCCCCGAAAGCCAACCTTTCTTAATGAGCATTTGCCCTTAATTTTTAAGAAATAACACATACTCAGAACATGGGAAAAGCACAGAAAATATACTGTATTAATAAAAAAACCTCGAAATCCTAGCATCTGGAGAAACTACAGTCGATTTCTTGGTTCATTTCCTTTCAATTATATATGTACATTTTGTTTGCATATTAAATTTTTTTTGGAGACATGGTCTCATTGTGTAGTTCGGGCTGGCCTTAAGCTCGGAGTAATCTTCCTGCCTCAGCCTCCTGAGTGCTGGGATTATAAGAGTGCCCTACCACAACCGGCTTTACATGTGTATTCTCAAAATTGGAGTCATACTTTAGTTTTGTAGACTACTCTTAATTTTTTACATTATGTGAGAGTTTTTTCTTGGTAGTAGATAATTCTGAAAACATAACTTTTAGTAACTATGATTTCTACTTTTGAATATACCATAATTTTATTATTCCCATTAATAAACATTTATGTTACTTCTACTTTTACTATTACCAAACTCCAGAGAACAACTGTGCATCTAAATTTCTGTGTGAGTTTCTTTGTACAGTAAAAGTCTAGGGTCGGGGATTTAGCTCAGTGGTTTCGCCACCTGCCGCGCAAGCACAAGGACTCAAGTTCGATCCCCAGTACCAAAAAAAAAAAGTCTAACATGACACAATCAGGGCTGGTTGGTAGGTTAATTTAAAATAGGCTATAAGACAGGAATCATAAAAACTGCATACACACACATCATATACTGTATTTTTAAACTTAAAACACAGTATGTTGGAGATGCCAAGGCTTTGTCTGTGAGTGTGGCCCCACTGGCATGAGTTCCATGTCATCTTTACTACATAAACCACACTCGTGATGCATCATTTGCAATTTAAAGTACAACATCAGTTTCTTTAAAGCAGAGCAAGATCCAGAAGACACAAATAAAGCAATCACCATTCAGAATCTTTTGGTACAAATATATTCTGAAAGGCTGGCTTATTTTGCCTATGTCCTACCTATCCCTAATTCAACAGCCACTTAAAAACACTTAGCATTTTATCTTAATAAATCTTTCTAAAACACCCAACCTGGTTTTCATTGATAATTCATTCTTTTTACACTAATTTAAGTGTTTTATATAATGTCTAATGAAATTATATAATTATGAAAAGTACAATGGATATAAATAATTTCAAATGAGGCTCAGAGTTGGAGAGGAAAAGCAGCCCCCCGGCATCTGGAAACTGCTTGGACACACACAGTGAGGCCTCAGTGCTGTCTGAGCTGCCCGGCGCTCAAATGAGGCCATGTTATTCTTCTCCTCACACATCAACATCAGACAAGGTCACTCTGAGACCACAACAGACAAAACACTTCAAAATTCTGTCTAACCTGGACAAAAGGTAAGGTCACTGTGCACCCTACAAA